TATAAACTAAAGCCATAGGAGTCACGCGACATTGCTTGTGAGTTTCCCACTTAGCAAGCATGCCTACAATCCCTTACTTCACTGCTTTAATAATTTACATGCATGTTTTCAGGCTTATGCAGTATTTATTCAACTTTTTTCTTTGATCCTTTTACTAATCCTCTCATTAGATTGAAGTACATTTGAGAAGAGGCAGCAGCTCCACAGTGGAGTTGTTAGTTCAGAAGCTCTGGGGGCAGAAAAATTTCTGCTCTGCTACTTGCTAACTATGAGATGCTGGGAACGTAGCTCAGCTCCTCTGAGTCTCGCTTCTGCTTTATAAACTGGGGATAAAATAGTACTTTTTGGGGTTAATATGAAGATTAAATTATATAATCCATGTAAATCCTTAATGTAAAGCCTTGTATTTGTAAGTGCTCAATACACATAAGCTGTAATCATAGTTGCTTTTCATAGAGCTTGCCATTACTGAAAAATCAGTATAATTCATGGGATGTCTGGTACAGTGCTTTGTAAATAATGAGCAATGAATTAACTTTGTTATATGTTATAGAGACAATGAAAACCCTCTCCCTCACCCCCAAAAGCTTAAAATGCATAATATTTTAATATTTACTAAAAAAAAGACATGAAAATTATAAATATAGGAATTATTGACATTGAAACCAGGAGCCATTATTCTCCTGGCAAGTATCTTGTTTCAGAACATTCTAATAATTTATTATTAGATATTATCTAATTTAGTAGACTATCAAGTATTTGTTACCAGACTCTAAATGAAGTAAACAAACTTTTCAGACTCTATGGAATGTAAAAGGATAAAGCAAGGTTTTTGCCTGTAACACACCTTTTCTTTAGAAGTAGTGCAGGATGATTTAAAAATTCTCAAATGCTGTTTCCTTTTAGAAGTTGGATGAAGGGCCTTTCAGCAATTGGTGGGATTCCAATTCTCAAATAACTTCAAATGTGGATTCTATAATTAAAATCAGAAATTTGAACCACCTAAACATATGTTCTCCATAGGTTTCACTATGTCTCTTTATTTTAAAAACTCTTTTACTCCTCTAATGCATATATATTCTACTTACTCTACACAGTTTACATTGAGCCTTAGTGACTATATAGGACTTGTAATGATAATTGCTATAGGCTGCTGCTTTTGGGTAAATATAGGGATCCGAGGAACCACAAAGATGATTCTTTCCCTCTTCCTGCTCCCAGGGAGGCTGAGATGTAATGACGCACCTTTTCTATTGTTGAAAATGAAATCTGCCTCTGAAAAGCAATTTTGGCTTTATAAAGCTATAGTTTATAGAACCTCAGAAATCATTCCCAGGGATCACTTGAAAATGAATCATCAGAGAGCTGATCGTTGAATCAGAAAGGGTGATCATTCATGGGGCTCAGGCATGTCGGACCAGCAAGCTCATGATTTTACTTTACCAGGAACCAAGGGCAGGAAGAGATGGGTGAGGAGCCCATGTCATTGTCCAGGCAAGGAAGGTCAAGGGAGGAGTCTCCCACTCTGGGTGGGAGCCGCCATCCTCAAGAGAGACCACAGACCAGGGGTCCTACGTATACAATGTCTCTGTCACAGGGGATGTCCTAAACAGTTCCACGCCTGGATTAAACACCAGAAACCAAGTTACTAGACTGAAAACCTGGAGAGTCCTATAGAGGTGCCAGCCCTAAACTAGCAGTGTTGAAATCTAAGGAACAGTTCTCCCATCCAACTTGAAGTGTTGGGGAGCAAAAAGGGGGAAAAGGGGCTTTGTAGCTTATAAGCCAAGTCAGACTGCTGATTGCATGATTTTAAACTTGGCTAAGAAAGCTATGCTCTGTAAAATCATTGCTTTCTACACATTTGCCTTTTCTTAATTCCCCTTAGTTTTATAAGGAGAACGCTTTTTATTTTAAGACCACAGGGAGCCTTTGTGACCTCACTCTCCTGAGTCATTTCAGTTGAAGCAACTAACCAAAGCAGGTATTCAGGAAAAAATAACGTGATGATGAAATATACCAATTTTCTAATCAAACCTGGAGGGGCTGAGCAAGTGGTTTGGGGAGAAGAAAGAGGGAACCGTAAGACATTGGAGACACGTTAATTAACAGCACCAAAGGCGTTTACTTCTATACACATAGCCCAAAGTGGAATATGCTGTAAAGTGTGATGTTCACAGTCAAGTCAGCACTTCAGGCAAAAATACCCCTTCTTTCTTAGCATTATGAGCTAAAAGAATCCTGAAGGACCCAGTGCAATAATTTCTCAGAAGTCCTCAGCCTGAAGTGTGATTTTAAAGTTGCATGTAGATATAAAACTCAAGCCATTACACCTGTGTGTTTACTGAACTTTTTATAGATGTGTATTTACTGAGCAACCATTGATATTGTCTTCTGTGAGTACACGCTGTTCTGTGCCTGGAAATGGTTTGCAGCCTCATTGTGGTTGCTTTAAATGTCAAGGCTGTTGCTGCTGCAACAACTCCTCCTACCTCCGTGGGGCCGTGTGCAAACTCACTAGCATTAATAAAGAAGCAAAGTTCTTGGGGCTCAGAATTAGTTAGGATCGTAAAATGCCCTTTTATGCACAAACCCCATCAGAACTCTGTCTGCCTTGATGCATTACAGCTTTAAACATGTACCACCAGTTAATCACACAATTGTTGGGAGATGCAAACTCACTGTATAATTAGTGGTGTTTTCAAGGAAATTAGCATGTAGTTACTATGAGCAACATGTTCTATTTTGTGGAAACTATGCAATTAACTTGTCCTAGGCTAATAAATTAAATGTAGCATAAGCTCATATAACAGCTGCTTGGAAGGAGGGGCTGGCTGGCAGTGCATTTATTGGGATCACTTTGAACTTGTTAGCCTCTATACTCAATGCAGAGATAGGTGTGCCCCAGTTTAGGGAAGTTATTCTCATGCTCACATTTACTAAATGGATATTTTAGGAAGTTTGAACATACTTGGTTAGGGGAGAGAAGGTGAGGTGGAAGGAGGAAAAAGTAATAAAAATGTTGCTAAGTCATTAGACACTAATTTGGAATGGACTGGGAATCCACAGTTTCAGAAATTCAGTTTATAGGCAATTTATCAGGAATACTCATACATCTATTGCAATTAGGAAAGCATGCCCAGGGAAGTTTTTATTTATGATAGGTCAAAGGGCTCTAACTTCTCTGTTTTCTGCCCATTGAGATTTAATGATAATAATGGGCCTAGTTTGGGTTGAAAAAGAGGGAACAGTCCTCAAATTCATTGTTTCTAATGAGGGTTTGAGAGGATCCTGAAGGAGTTGACTGATCACTTTTGGGGCTTTTTTAGAACTCAGCTTTAGTGTGTTTCGACTCCCAGGTTAGGTAAGAATTGCTAGAACTGGAGGCTGACTTCATAGTGAGTGCCTTCCTTACCTGGATCTAGCAAGCCTGGGGTCTTAGTGAACTCTCAGCTTCCAGCCAGGGGCTGGAATTAACATTAGCATGTTAATGTCAGAGAGGAGGAAGTTTCCCTGTGTCCTGTGACAAAGGACTCTGGTTGGCGCATGGTTAGAAGTTAGGCTCAATGACTGGAAGGAAGAATTTTCTTTCCCTGTGTCTTTTGCTTGACCGGAAATCATAAGGTTGTACACCTTATCTCAACATCTGCCAGCAACCTCTCTAAGAAATAATCCAGTCACTTTTGGAGGTAGGTGTCACACATTATTATTTAGAAACAGCCCCTCCTTCTTAACTTTTCTGCAGTTTCCTGCCCATTCTCAACCTTACACAGAGTACCGGTAAAAACAGATGGGAAAGAGTTATGATTGTATTCTTCAGGCATCGGTGGATCAGTGTCCCCAGGCAGCAGTGTATTGGGTTCAAACCAAGTATTGGGTTGTCAGAAAAGTCATGATGCATGTTTGCGACAGATGGCACTAGTTCATTTTTGGAAGTACTAGAGTCATTTGCATCTGTGTTATTGCTATGTCACTTGACAGCTGACAGTTCTAGCTTCATTCTAAAAAAAATTGAGTGATTTGGTTGAGTTTGGAGATTTTACAACTTGAAGATGGAAGACTACACTGTGCATTTTTGCCATATTTTACTGTTTTAATTCCATAAAGGGAAGAACGCACGTCAAGCCTGTGAAAAGTTGCACAAAGTTTACAGTGACAATGCTCTACAAGAACATTAGTGCCAACAATGGTTCATGAAATTATGTGCTGGTGATTTTGATCTCAACGACGCCCCTGGGTCAGGGAGGCCCACCGAGATTGATGACCACAAAATAAAGGCATTGATGGAGTCAAACCCACGCTACATGACACGAGAGATTGCAGAAACATTGAACATCCAACATTCAAGCATTCATGACCACCTGACGAAGCTGGGATGTGTAAGCAAGTTCGATATTTGGGTTCCGCACAAACTCAAAGTTCATTTGATGGCGCGTATAAACATCTGCAATTATACTCATTAAACATGAGGAAAATGACCCTTTTTTGAAGCGACTGATCACTGGTGATGAGAAGTGGGTTGTGTACAACAATGTGGTGCACAAATGGCCTTGGTCTCGATGTGATACTTCGCTTCAAACAACATCGAGAGCAGACATTCATTAGAGGAAGGTTATGCTGTCAGTGTGGCAGGATTTTAAAGGTGTTGTGTTTTTTGAGCTCCTATTAAGGAACCAAACAATCAATTCGAATGTGTACTGTCAGCAATTGGACAGTCTGAACGAATCCATTATCTAGAAATGTCCAGAGCTTGTTAATTGTAAAGGAGTTGTGTTCCATTGTGACAACACGAGACCACACACAAGTTTGATCACCAGTCAAAAATTATTGGAGCTTGGATGGGATGTGTTGCCACACCCACCATACTTGCCTGACCTGGCACCATCAGACTTCCACTTGTTTCACCCTCTTCAAAACTCCTTGCGTGGTATAACGTTCAATTCAGGTGAGGCTGTAAATCAGCACCTAGTTTAGTTTTTCGCAAATAAAGACAGGTCCTTCTATGAACGAGGAATTATGAAGCTCACTGAAAGATGGCAAAGGTTATTGAACAAAACGGGCAACATATCATTGATTGATCTTTGTTCTTTATATAAATAAATGACCTTTGAAAAACAGACAAAATACATCATGACTTTTTTGACAACCCAATATTTCACTTTTCATTGAACCTCCTGTACATGTGTTAGAGTATTTTTTTTCTGTGTAACAGCATATTCAATAAAGTATAATTTCATGGTTTTTAATTGAAGTAAGGCTCAGTGGCCTAACAACAAAAAGGATTGTAGAAATGATGAGATTTTCTTGATTATTTTTATATTTTAAAAGTAAAACATAGACTTAGTTTTTGAATTAAAGAGAAATCTTACTTCTGGCTTTAGACATACTTATAGCAGAATCTTAAATTATATAAATATGGCAAGTGATACTCATATCTTTAGCAGAATGTAATTATTGAATGCATTACATGAAATATTAATTTTGTAGCACAAGAGTATTCGTTTAGGTTAGTTAAACTATGAATTGGTTTTATAATCCTTTTTTATTCCTGAATTTGTTATATTTGAAAAAATGCTCCAAAGATATGCATTTTTCTTTAGTAGTATATCAACATTATTTTAATGATTCTTAGCAAAAAATTAAATATAATTTTATACCTGATATCTGCTGCATTTATTTGCCTTCTTCTTTCAGTTCAAAGTTGAAAGAGATAATTCATCTTGAAGTGCCTTAGAAAGTTTCTGTCATCAACATAAAGATAAAAATTATTTCATCTGTTCAAAGTTTTGTTAAGATTTAATGGTATTTGAATTTCTTCTACCAATTTATTTCCTTTCTGTGTTGCAAAAGGGTCTTTTTGAATAATAAAAAAGGAAATGCATACCCAAGTCATATATATTCTAGCATTTCTTTAGTCGTTATTTAGGAAAGAAAGATGTAGAGAGCTTATTGGTCAGAGTGAAGAGAGATGAATTTCCCTTTATGGTAAAAGCTAAAAGCATGGCTGGGTAAAGAGGTGCTGGCAGTGGCTTTCTGCTCCTCGAGCATGGAACAGAGCTTTGAGGAGCCAGGAATGGGAGTGGACAAACCTGGACTCTGCCTCCTACTTCCTGTAGCACGTTGGGCAATCACCAAGCTGCCCTGTCCCTCCCTTTTCTCACTTGCAAAAGTAGGATAGTACTTAGCTCATAAAGTAGTTATGAGAATTAAACTAAATGATATGTCTAGAACACTTAGTAGATGTTATCTTTTTTGGTAAAAGGTGTACATTATCAAAATCAGGCTTCTAGGTCCTTCCCTAAGAAAAAATTATTCTCTGCAGATGTAATTTGTGTTTATGAGTTTACCCTGTTAGAAAAGCAGCTGGATGCTATTAATATGGAAAAACCTTTCTGATTCACGGTTTGGTTAGCCAATCAGAAAATTTAAAGATTGCATTTAGGGTTTATAAGATTCTAAGACTTCCAAGCCAGTAGATTAAAAAAAGTGTTCCTCAAGCCTTTCAATCTCCTCCAACATAGAGAATTTCTGCATATACTCTTGGTGACTATCTCAGGCAGAAAAAGTCAAGTTGCAGGAAACGTCATAGAAACACATCATACCCTCTTATGGCACATGTATGTAAGTTTTGTAATTATAAAAGTTATATAATTTTTACTTATGTAATACTTGTTTCTATTTACCTCTCCCTTGATTGGATCACGCCTTAATCATTTCCGTGCACTAATAATATGTCTGGTGTTTAGTAGGCTATCAATATCAATATTCTTGCTAAATAAAATAAATGAGTGAATACATAAGTACATGGGTATAGAAATGAGTACTACCCTGTAAGGCCATCCTTGGACATGTCTCCTTTTAACAGAAACCAAACTCCTTGTCTCCATGACTTACTGACTGATGAAAACTCTCAGCTTCCCCCTGTCTCCACTGAGGCCAGGAAGAACTGCTTTTTGTTTATTTAAACCTGTGTAACTTCTTTTCTCATTGCCTGATAACATATTAACTTGTTGAGGAAAGCTAGTAGTCATAAAACATCAATCCCTCTTTCAGTACAATGGTGGTTTTCAACTGTGTTTTCAGAGGTGAGGTGTTGACGATGCTCAGGGGCCAAGTTGGAACAGGATCTAACTCAGGGACGTGAAGAGAAGGGGGCTGAGGAGAAGTCCCAGCTTATGACAGCATCACCTCCTCTCCTCTGAGGGAGTAGTTCTGCTTTGGTCTGTTTTATACGTATATTGAGGCTCCGTGTAAGATTCTTCTGGAGATAGAGGATACGCCACTAAAAACGTTTGAAGCCTGAGTTCACGATGATACAAAATATTAAACAGACAGATTTACCCTCTGAAGTCAATGAAAAAAGACAAGCTTGAGTTCTCCTAACTCCCAGGCTAACTCGTGAGTCATCAAAGCGAAACGTATTAAAAGGTAGTGTTGAGAGATAACTCGGGCATTCCTGGATGCCTTCCGAGCAAAGAGCATGGGCAGCTTTGTTTAAGGATATTTGTAAAGCTGCTCCAGGAAGGGAGCAGATATGCTGATTCTCCAGGGTAATAAAGCTAGTTTCTCTCGTTCCTGGGATCTAGTCAAGGTGATAAAGATAATACCTGTATTTCCTTCTGAGTCAGAAGGCAGATTTGTTTTCTGATTAGGATAATAAAGATGTCTCTCTCTGTAGGGATGGGTGGACAGGTTTACTAGTAGCTCCTTTAACAGATTGGTGTTTTTCTAAGCTCAAGGTTCCTCATGAAAACACAGGCCCCCTGTGTGTGCAGTGTCCACCTGGGCTTACCTCTCCATCACTGCTAAGGAATGTGAGTGGCCAGATAAACCAATGTGAACATGAACTTCATGCTGTCTACCATGCCATGTGTAATAAACTGTATGAACCCATTTGGGCTAATTGTCCCCTTACTGGCTGAACCTGTGGAAGTTTGGCCAACTGACCCAGCAGCCGCAGTGGGGGTTGCTGCTCAGGACCTGCATGGGTGACTGATAGGTGGAAACTTCACTTTGTTTTTTAGGTCGTGACCAGAAGTACTTTACCTGAAAGATAAATTTCCACTCTTATCTATACTTTTCAATGTATAGGAGAGCCACTAGTCATGTGATAGACTTTAGTAAGAGTATTCATAATAATATTTGGGTATGCATAATGACATTTGGGTTAATGTGTGCCCTATGTACAACTATGCTCAAAACAAAACTACTGTTGTTGTTAATATTTCCCTTCCTTCTATCTTAAGGAGCATGTAAACAAAAACTCTATCCACCAAAGTAAATATGTTGGCTATGAAATCCTGGTTACCTTCTATAAACAATATTCCTCAAGTTTTTCTGCACTTAAGAATCACCTGGCGAGCTTGCTACAAAAGCAGATTTCTGGGTCCCATGCCCAGGGAATCACATTCAGGGGGTCTGAAGATAAGCTGTCTGCTAGTAATGAAGCCCCAGGTGATTCTGATTTTGCTGGAAAGGGTTACATTTTAAGAAACAAGATTTTAAAACACCAATGGTGTTTGTTTAAATAAAAAGAATAAGTGGATGAAACCCACAACTTCCTTCAAATCCTGAAGGTTTGATTGATGAGGCAGATAGGGAGAAACAGGGTGCCCACATTCTGATACATTAACCCAGCACTTTACCTCTACTGCGGTCCTAAAATACTGAATCCACTTCAGGGTTTCCACTGTAAAGACCTCACTATTTGTTTTTCCAAGAATAATAGCAGGGGTGGGAATGTAAATTGGTGCAGCCACTATGGAAAACAGCATGGAGGATCCTCAAAAAATTAAGAATAGAATTACCATACAACCCAGCAATCCTTCTTCTGGGTATCTACCCCCCCCAAAATCTGAAAACATTTACTTGTAAAGATATATGTGCCTTTTTTTCACTGCAGCATCATTCATGGTGGCCAAAACATGGAAACAACCAAGTGTCCTTTGATAGATGACTACATAAAGAAGATGTGGTACATATATACAATGGAATATTACTTGGCCAGAAGAAAAGATGAAATACTGCCATTTGTGAAAACATGGATGGATCTTGAGATTATCATGATAAGTGAAATAAGTCAGACAGAAAAAAAATCGAGAACTATATGACTTCACTCATACGTGGGATATAAAACTGAAAACAAGAAATGAACAAGACAAACAAACTAACAAAAAATCATAGACACAGACAAGAGTTTAGTGGTTACCAGAGGGTAAGGGGTGGATGGTAGACAAGTTTGGTAAAGGGGATCAAATATATGGTGATGGAAAGAGAACTGACTCTGGGTGAACACACACTGCAATTTATAGATGATGTATTACAGAATTGTACACCTGAAACCTATATAATTTTACTAACCAATGTCACCCCAACAAATTTAATTAAAAAAAAAAAACTGACACAACTGGCCCAGAAGTTATTTATTCTGGGGCCAAATCATTCTTCAATATAATATCTTGGACAATAAATCTTCTTTTAATCTGTGCCTTGGTGTAGAATTCAGGTTTCCAGTGCCAATTTGAAGCTAGACTAATCCTGCCCACCTGTCAAATGACAGAAAGCACTCCTGGAAGGCTCTCTAGTTCCTTTAGTATATGTTCTCAATTAGAGTTCACATCAGGGAAACCTTATGGAACTTTCTACAGGGTTGGGTGCTCATTTATTTTAGAATGGGCTTGTGGCATATGAATTAATTTTTATATCTGTTTTGTTGTGAACCCTGAAACCTAGTTCGTGTGTGTTATGGGCTAAATTGTGTCCTCTCAAAAATTTCTATGTTAAAGTCCTAAACTCTAGCACCTTGAAATGTGACTATTTGGAATTGAAAGTCTTTAAAGAGGTAATTCATTTAAAATGAGGTTACATTAGAGTGGGCCCTCATCCAATATGACTGGTGTTATAACAAGAGGAAATTTGGGCTCAGGCATAAATCAGAGGACCAGGTGAAGACAAAAAGATTGACCTCTACAAGCCAAGGAGAGAGACATTCAAAGAAACCAACTCTGCCTAAACCCTGATCTCCATCTTTAGAACTGCAGCTTTCTTTAAGAGCTGTGAGAAAATAAATCTGTGTTGTTTAAGTCACCAGTCTGTGGTAATTTGTTGCAGCAGCCTTAGCAAATGAATGCATTCTGTTTTCTTTAAGGGGCTCCAGAGCAGGTCCCTTCTACATTAGAATAACTTTGCTTGCATTCCTTCTGCCAGCTGTAGAGGGCATCTTTAGTGGGTCAGACTTTAGACAGCACCAATTTAGATTAAAGTTCCTATTTTGCTTTACTCACTAAGTCTTTTTGGATAGTACTTACAAATACCAGTCTTAAGCAACAGAATTACTGATTGTCTCAGTGGGTATTTCCCTCAAATGAAGGAATCTAGGTGCTAGACAGACCTGATTTACTTATTCAATACATATTTTTTTGGCTGCCTACCATGTTCTAGGTGCTGGAACAGAGAAATTGGAACTAAACAAAGTTCAGGCTCTCATGAAACATTTAGCATGGTGTGTGTGTGTGTGTGTGTGTGTGTGTGTGTGTGTGTGTGTGTGTGTGTAGAAAGTATACACTTAAAATAAATATATAATATATCAAGTGGAAATAAAGCAGAGTACGGAGAAAAGAAGGCTGGGGCTGTGTTTGGAGAGTAGGAATGGGGATGTTATTTTATGAAGGATGGTCAGGAGGGCCCCTATGAGGTGGTAACCTTTATGCAGAGCCTGCCTGAAGTGAGGAATCCATAGATGCAGAGATGTGCCACCCAGATCCCCCTTCAAGGAAGGACTTTCTACCCTAGGTGCTGGAGAGTTGGCTCCAGGCAGCCTTCATGCCAGAACTTTCGGGGATTGCCTCAGCCCCGAAGAGCTGCTCTCCCAACAGCATGTCCTTCCTGCAGACAGCCCATGTCTAGTGATGATGAAGGTGGGGATATAAAGCCCAAAAAGACTTACCTGACAGGCAATTTCAGTTTCAGAGACTCCCCCTGGGGCCAGCTGAGTCTGTTGAGACTTCGTCATTGCTTATCGCTACTTTCCACAGCTGAT